GTGGACTATCAGTATTCATTTTGAAATAATTGTTTAATATTTTTAACAAGTTACATTAATTTATATAAATAATATCTTCCTATTTATAAAGATATTAGGCCGGCGCTTGGCTCACGCCTGTAATCCTAGCTCTTGGGAGCGGAGGGCGGCGGATTGCTCAAGGTCAGGAGTTCAAAACCAGCCTGAGCAAGAGCGAGACCCGTCTCTACTATAAATAGAAAGAATTAATTGCCAACTGATATATATATATATAAAAAAAAATTAGCCGGGCATGTGGCGCATGCCTGTAGTCCCAGCTACCTGGAGGCTGAGGCAGAAGGATCACTCGAGCCCAGGAGTTTGAGGTTGCTGTGAGCTAGGCTACGCCACGGCACTCACTCAGCCTGGGCAACAAAGCGAGACTCTGTCTCCAAAAAAAAAAAAAAAAAAAAAAAAGATATTAAACAGCCCCTAAGCTTTTGTATTTGCTGTACATATTTTTGTCTGGATTTATATGTTTTTGTCTTTAAGGTTTTGCATTTGAAATTTAAAATTTTATTTATGGACTATGTTACATTTTTAATAACTCTATCACTTTTGGTTTAAATTCAACCCTTCTTTAGACTTTTAATTTAATTTTTAAGTTTTTAACTGGAATGATCTTTAATTTGCATACAAGTTACAAATATTATAGAGTTCCTGTATACTCTTCACCCAGTTTCTCCAACTGTTAACATCTTGCATATCCATGGTACAATTTTCAAAACTAAAAAACTACATCAATGTAATACTGTTAACTAAACTATTGATCTCTTTTGGTTTCACCAGTTTTCCACTAAGATTCTGTTTCTGTTCTGGGAGCCAATTCAGGATCCCACACCTTATTTAGTTATCATATCTTTAGTCCCTCTGATCTGTGATAGTTCCTCAGTCTTTCCTTGTCTTTCCTAACCTTGACACTTTCTTCCTCCTACTTAATTTTTTTTTTTACTTGTACAAATTTGTTCTTACATGAGAAATTTTGTTACGTGTGTATAATTCGTAGTGATCAAGTCAGGGTATCCAGGGTGTCCGTCACCCAGGACAATACGTTTTGCCAAGTATAGTCATCCTACTCTTCTATAAAACATTGAATTTATTCCTCCTATCTTACAGTATGTTTGTGTCCTTTAACCTACTTCTCCTCATTTGTCCCCCACCCCAAAGACCTTACACTTCTGAAGAGTACTGCTCAGTTATTTGTAGAATGTCCCTCTATTGGTTTGTCTGATGTCCTCTCATGGGTAGATTAAGGTTCCGTAATTTGCCAAGAATACAACAGAAATAGTGTCAGTGCCCTTCTCAGCATCTAACATGGGATTCATGATGTCAGTATGTCTCAGTCCTGCTGAGAACCAGATCTCTTGGTTAAGGTGGTATCTCCTGGTTTTTCTTCTGTAAAACTACTGGTTTTCCTTTGTAATTTATAAATATCTTGGGGAGATATTTTGATACTTTACAAATAACCTGTTTCTCCTCAAACCCAATAATTTTAGCATCTGTCTGTGGATTTAGCCACAAATAATTATTATACTGGTGTTCTAATCATGGTTTTCTATTTTCCTGTTTCTTCTACTTCCATTAATTGAAATGATGTAGAAAGGGCACAGGAGGCAATGGCCCTAAGCAGGAACCATTTGAGAAACAAAATATATAATAATAGTATTAGATTATAATCCCTTGAATAAAATTAATATTCACGAGCTCATTCATAAATAAATAAATGAATAAATGAATTGGGGAGAAGAGACAGCTCTGCCTTACACAAGAATTTCAATTAATGGAAGTAGAAGAAACAGGAAAATAGAAAACCATGATTAGAACACCAGTATAATAATTATTGTGGGCTAAATCCACAGACAGATGCTAAAATTATTGGGTTTGAGGAGAAACAGGTTATTTGTAAAGTATCAAAATATCTCCCCCAAGATATTTATAAATTACAAAGGAAAACCAGTAGTTTTACAGAAGAAAAACCAGGAGATACCACCTTAACCAAGAGATCATGGTTCTCAGCAGGACTGAGACATACTGACATCATGAATCCCATGTTAGATGCTGAGAAGGGCACTGACACTATTTCTGTTGTATTCTTGGCAAAATTACGGAACCTTAATCTACCCATGAGAGGACATCAGACAAACCAAATAGAGGGACATTCTACAAATAACTGAGCAGTACTCTTCAGAAGTGTAAGGTCTTTGGGGTAGGGGGACGAAATGAGGAGAAGTAGGTTAAAGGACACAAACATACTGTGAGATAGGAGGAATAAATTCAATGTTTTATAGAAGAGTAGGATGACTATACTTGGCAAAAACGTATTGTCCTGGGTGACGGACACCCTGGATACCCTGACTTGATCACTACGAATTATACACACATAACAAAATTTCTCATGTAAGAAACAAATTTGTACAAGTAAAAAAAAAAAAATTAAGTAGGAGGAAAGAAAGTGTCAAGGTTAGGAAAGACAAGGAAAGACTGAGGAACTATCACAGATCAGAGGGGACTAAAGATATGATAACTAAATAAGGTGTGGGATCCTGAATTGGCTCCCAGAACAGAAACAGAATCTTAGTGGAAAACTGGTGAAACCCAAAGAGAGTCAATAGTTTAGTTAACAGTATTACATTGATGTTAGTTTTTTAGTTTTGAAAATTGTACCATGGATATGCAAGATGTTAACAGTTGGAGAAACTGGGTGAAGAGTATACAGGAACTCTATATATTTGTAACTTGTATGCAAATTAAAGATCATTCCAGTTAAAAACTTAAAAATTAAAATTAAAAGTCTAAAGAAGGGTTGAATTCTAAACCCAAAAGTGATAGAGTTATTAAAAATGTAACATAGTCCACTAAATAAAATTTTAAAATTTCAAATGCAAAAACCTTAAAGACAAAAAACATACAAATACCAGACAAAAATATGTACAGCAAATACAAAAGCTTAGGGGCTGTTTAATATCTTTATAAATAGGAAGATATTATTTATATAAATTAATATAACTTGTTAAAATATTAAACGATTATTTCAAAATGAATACTGATAGTCCACAAAACAAAAAAGCTAAAAATATGGAACTAATACTCATCCCTATTCATAAAGAAAGCAAATTAAAACAATAAGATATTATTATTTTCACCTAACAATTAGGGAAAATGGCAGCAATGATAACACCAAATAATAGTGTGCACCCAGAAAAAAACTGGTACTCATAAATTTCAGTGTCACTACTGCCTGTTTGATCAAGTCTTTGGTTGCATAAATGCCACTCTGCAAGGAGATAAAGAGTTTGCACCAGAATGTAAATCAATTCATTGTTTCTTTCATTGAGAAAGTCTTGTATGAACAAAATGTCAGGCAGGCCAGGTGTGGTGGAGCATGCCTACAATCCTAGCACATTGGGGAGGCCAAGGCAGGAGGATCACTCGAGGCCAGCAGTTCAAAACCAGCCTGAGCAAGACCAAGACCCCATCTCTACAAAAAAAATAGAAAATTAGCCAGACATGGTGGTGCACACCTGTAGTCCAGTTACTTGGCAATCTGAGGCAAGAGAATCACTTGAGCCCAGGAGTTTGAGGTCTCAGTGACCTATAATGACACCATTGCATTCTAATCCAGTTGACAGAGAAAGACCCTGACTCAAAAATAAATAAATAAATAAATAAAAAGGAGTAGTAACAGTTTGCAGACACAGGTCCATATACTGTACTTGAGTAGCACTTTTGTAGGCCATTATATGGTCTTTGACTTTTATTTAGTGGGATAGAGAGCCCATAGGAAATTTTTGAGTTAAGCAGTGATTTGATCTGACGTACATTTTCACAGAGCCATTCTGACTCCTATATTGAAAAACTCTGATGCCTTGGATCAAAATCAGACATGGTGGAGGTGTTGCAAAATGGTTCAGTTCTAGGCATATTTTGAAGTTTGAGTCAATAGAATTCCCTGGCAGTTGAATGGGTGAGAGAAAGAAAAAAAGTCAAGGATGACATCAACATTTTTGGCCATTTCACAAGACCAGAAGGACAGACAGAGTTGCCATTAATTGAGACGGACTTGGGGAGCAGGTTTGGGGGGAAAGATTGGGAGCTTGGTTTTGAATAGGTTAAGTGTGAAATGCATATTAGATACCTGAGAGGTGATGTCGAGTAGATAGTTGGATATAAGGGTCTGGAGTGCAGGGACTTAATCCAATACCCTTTCTTCTCCTCTGTCCCCAGCCTCTTCAGACTGGACCTAGATCTGCCCAAGTTATCTGGTATAATAGTTGATATCATGAAAAAGCTTAAAATTATTACTGAATGGAAATTACTAGGAATCACTGTACATTGGTTATTCCTTTTAACAACTTGACCAAAGGTTAGATCCTCTTCTCCCCATTATAGAGTAAGAAAACCAAGGCTTAGGGAAGTCGAATTGTTTTCTAAGGTCACATAGCTGGCAAGTAATAGAATGATGATTTGGGAACAACTCCGTCTGCCACCAAGCTGCTGCTCTGTAGAATGTCCTGCTGTTCCAACGCGGGGTGACCTCCCCTGGGGATGGGGTCATGAACTGCCGTCCACACGCCAGTTTAGCTGGGTTCAATCAGGGGACTCTGAGATGCTTCCCAGCTATACAATTCTAGGTTTCTATAAAATTTCTTTGGAAATTGGAATGGCTTTTGAAATTTTTTGTGTCTTTCCTCTGAAAAGTCTCATTAGAAAGGAACCAGTTTCCAGTTAAGGGATTAGGTGCTTCAGAATGATCGTGGACAGTAGACAGTTTCCTGCTTCCCAAGCCAGCTCCAATCCAAGGGCCTTTAAAATAAATGTGGAAGAAAATCCAATGATATTATCACCACTATCTCCAGTAAACAAACACAGGCACCTACCAATTTTATCACAAAGCAAAGAGTCAAAAAATGAAGACAGCCTGTATTTGAATAAAAATCACAAATCGCCACAGGCATGTTCATTAATACCACTCTTCCCTTATTCTTCTCCTCCCCGACCACCTTCCCACCAAGTAGCCCTTAATGACAGTTTTAACTGTTCTTCCCACCAAAAATGGCTTTCCAGTGTAATAAAGTATCAGAAGGTCCCTGCTGAGCTGGCAGCTGGGGAAGTGTCACAGGCCACTGACCTCTAAAATGAGCTGTCTCTGCGACAAAAGGTCCCTTTTCCTTGGAACAACTTCAAGGAGATCGCACACCACGGGCACTATTGCTCCCTTTGTATTCCCGTTTGATGAAACTGGGAAATTGTTCTGTGCTCACAGCTGTTGAGAACACCAGGTGGTGGATTCTCGAGATAAAGGATTATATAGATCCTTTGTTAGAAACAGACATCTCCATTGTCCGACTTACAATATTTGAGCACAAATACTAGGAGCTTCCAGACAGCCTAACAGTTATGCACAGGAGACAACCAATAAATCCTATTCCCATTTCTCAAGGCAAATGGTTGCTGGTGGTGGCTAAACCTGGTCTCGCCACCAGCCAAAAATGAAAGAAACTAAAAAAGGAGCACTTATAATAAAAGAAGTGAACCAAAGCAAGGAAGGAAAGAAGGATATAACAAACAGTTATATCCAGGATATAACAACAGTTAATCTTCATAGATCCTGGACGTCAGGAAAAATGAAATGATTTATCTTCTTACCTTGAACTTGAGGGCTGGCACCATGGCACGTTTGATATTGCCTCCTCACTTCCTTACGTAGTCCTTACTATCATTCACTGAAGAGGTTTAATAATAAATGTAATAACAATAGTGAAGATTTATTAGAGTACTTCTTTGTGACTATATCCATTTTCTACTGCTACATACCCAGTTACCACAAGCTTAGTGACTTAAATCGACACTCATTTACCTCCTAGTTCTGTAGTTGAGAAGTCCAGGCAGGCTTGACTGGGTTCTCTGTTCAGGATCTCATAAGATTGACATCAGGGTTTAAACTAGCTGGGCTCTTATTGGGAAGTTCTTGCAATCTCTTTGACTTCCTGTTCTGCCAGCAGCTTAAGAAAGCTCTTTGCTTTTAAAGGGGTTCATGTGATTAGATTAGGTCCACCCAGATAATCCCCTATTTTAAGCTCAACTGTGCCTACATGATATAATCATGCAAGAGATGTTTCGCCATATTCACAGGTCCTGAGGATTAGGGCTGAACATCTTTGGAGGCCATTTGAGACATCCTGCCTACCACAGTGACAGACATTGTTCCCAGTGTTTTACATTGAACAATTCGTCAATCCTCCCAACAACCCTACGAGGTAGGTCCTATTATCTTCCTCATTTTATAGATGAAACAGAGAGATTCAGTTATTTGCCAACATCTCCTAGCTAGTATATGCCAGGACCTGGATTTCAATTCAGGCAGCCTGGCTTCAGAGCATCCTCCTTTAGCCACCAGCATTCTCTAGCCACCAGCCAGTGTTCTCCAGCAATTAACCATCGCTGGGATTACTAGATACATGAATCATTGCATTAGCTATGGGATTAGGAGACAATACTCGGGAAGAGTGAATTTCTTGATTTGTATGGAAAGTTCTATGCATAAAGTCTTATACTAATTATTCTGTGAAGGAGGTCCACAGAATCTCAAAGACATAGGTCCTACGGAATAACAAATACCTGCAGATTTCCTACAATACAGGCCTTCCCTTTTCAACCTTCAGCTATTGGTGAGATAACATGAAATTGCAAACATTTGAGACTGGTATAAAAATGGTACAACTTCTTTGACACTGAGGCAACACTATAGATAGTCCCTGCCCTCAATCATGTGGCGGTGGCCCAGGGCGGATATTGACTATTATGGGGACTATTATTGTCCTATTATGAGGACAATGTCAATATGCTAATTTGGATTCTAGGAAAACACGTGTAAGAAGAAAAATCAAAGGGATCAAAAATTAGAGTTGAAATAAGTGCAAGAAAAGAAAATGACTAAAAACTGAAGTTATTCCTCATATCTGAAGTTTACTGCACACACTGCTGGCCCTGGCTGTGAGCACTATTGTCCTCTTACTGCTTAGCTGGAGTGAAGTAGACACAACACTGGATTTGAAGTCATAACACTTCAGTTGCAGTCCTGGCTCTATTTCTACTGTGATCTTGAATGAGTCAGTTAATTTCCCGAATCATATTCATCCCATCTGTAAAGTAGAAATAATAATATCTACCTCACAGAATTTTAGAAAGAATTAAGTAAGATAGCAAATGGGTCGTGTTCCCTTTATGAATTTGTAAAATGTAATACAAATATTACATACTATTACTGCATTAGGTATCCAAGGGACTGATACAAGGGAAGGGCTAAGGCATGCACAGCCACCTGGCAAGAAGGTTACTTCTCCCAGCATGATAGACTAAAATGAACATTGGCCTAGGAAAAAACACAGTGAGATCAAGAAGTTATACAAACCACTCACTGGGCCTCTGCTGAGCATGCATTTTGCAAAATGAAATACACTTAAAGAGTAAAAAGTAGTATCAGTATCATCCTCAGAGGAAAAAATAGAGGCAAAAGAAAATCATTTGCACAACTGTCAGAGCTGAAAGCCCAATTTAGATATGCTGACTTTCAATATAGTGCCTTAAGACAAACTAAAATATACCCACAGTATGTATAAATGTCAGGGAAAAGATGGTCCACTAGTTGATTAAGAGAAGAAATTGCGTTTCCTGAATAAATACTGAGACTCAGTTGCCTCAAGTTAGACAGGATGCCAAAACATTCACCTCTCAAATTTCTACAGCCAAATGGTCAGGTGTGAGTATCAAGTCATGTGGGACAGCTTGTCCTTAAAGCAGTCACATAATCTATAGCTACGAGAGGAGAAAATATTTCTCATGTGCAAAATCTCTCATAACACCTTGATTCTGGCCTCGTGACACCCTGAGCAGAGACCCCAGTCAAGCCTTCTGAACAGCGCCTTAGGAGAGAATGATCGGTGTTGTTTTCAGCCAAGAAATGTGTGGTAATTTGTTACACAGCAGTTTGTCTCAACACTCCTTTTTCACATAGTGATCAAAAAGCTTAAAGAAAGTCACCTTTAGAGCACATTAACATAAAAGTCATTACTACAATTCATCAGCTTCTGGGAAGCTGACCATTGCCAATCAGCAAGTTCTGGAAACCCCAGGGGAGGGGGGACCGTACGTGGCTTAAAGGTACGCAATCCAGAGTTTTCTGGCAACACCCCATCACCAGCGATAGCAACGTGAATACGGTAACTGCCCTGCAATTAAGCTGAGCAGCCACGCGAAACAATTCAGGCCCATAGGTGATCTTAAAAGTCTGATGTAAACACTTAAAACACATTCCCGAAACAATCTGGAACAGCAAACAAAGCAGCTCGACAAGGTGGCTGCTTTGAGTTAACCATAGAGGGTTGGGAGAGTCATGTTCCATGTTGAACTTGATGAGCAATGGTACCTACACACACACAAACACACACACACACAACACACATATACACACACTCCTTTCCCTAGGTGACCACTTCAAGTACAGAGACTGTGCCTTAACAGTGCCTAATGCTATCAACCAAGTGTTATTGATAGAACGAAGTTTAATGGTACTTACTAACATCACATTTATGGCCCCCTGGAATAATGAGGCAAAACATTTTAATAAGCATCCTTAATCCATTTAGCTACTTCTACCTAACTTTAATATTGTAGACACTTAAATACTTATGGATATGATTTAAAGCAGTTTAAAAGAAAAGCTGGGTCACAGAGGTTACAAACGGGGATTGGGGGGGGAGGGAAGAGAACTACCAAAAAAATTACTGATTGGAACCAATTAAGGGCATGGAACCCTTAAAGACGGAAAGGCCCGGGGTTGACTTTGAGGGATGCAAGACGATATGGTAAAAAGAGCCTGTCCCGGATGCTGTGGGGCAGGTGGACCTGTCTGCACAGCTCATGAGCAGGGTGACCTGAGGGCAAGTCCTTACCTTCCCAGGACTCAGTTTCCTCCCCTGGGAAATGACAATAATGATTAATGACTGCGGTTTCGAGAAATCCCTTGAAGCATATATACGGAGGGACACAATGCGCAACACACAGCTGGTGCTCAGCATATTTAAGCCGTTTCTATCAGCTCATCATTACACACTAAAAATCCACCTCCTTCTTTCTGTGCCCCACCCCCTTCAGCATTGACAAGGAAGTTGGCTTTTACCAAATCAGCAGAATAGCGTACTGACATCATTCCGTGGAAGGAAAAAAGATGCTTTTCTGTACATGCAAGTGCTAAGGGAATGATAAGTTAACAATGGTTTAAACACCTGGCTTCGCCATGTACTCGCTTGGTTACCTTGGGCAAGCTATTTACAGTTTTGTGCCTCACTTTTTCATCTGCAAAATGAGATAATCATCAGCATCATATTTATCTCTGAGTTTGCATGAGAATGAAATAAGCTCAGAGATGTAAAGTACATCTTTACAACAGTGCTGGGCACAGGTCAGTACTCAGTCTATGTTTGCCGTGATTCGCTATTACTATTACTCACAATAGCCTTGCACGTGCACTGTCTAAAGGAGAATGAAGAAAGGAAGCTGGTGTCTGCCATAAGGCGCAACTGCAGAGAAGCCTTTGCAGCAATGGCAGGCCAGGCGGTGGGAGGTAGGAGCCAGTAAGCAATGGGAAAATGAGCTGTGAAAAGAATAATAATAAATACCACCTATACAATGCTCACTGTGTGCCAGGCACTTTGCTAAGCATTCTCTATATATTAACTTATTCAGTCCTTCTAATAATCCTTTACATTATTGACTCATTTAATCCTCAAAGCAAGTCTAGGAGGTAGATATAATAATTATTCTATTTTTCAGATTTTTCTAGTTTCCACTAAAGAACAGAGAGGTTAAGTAACCTGACCAAAGTCACAGAGGAAATGGCAGAATCAGTAGTCAATTATTAATGTAGACTATTGCTGTAAGGTGGACTCACTTACATACCTGTCCCCCATCCCCTCAGAGATATGGGAAAGTTCTGGGATTCTTCTAATGTGTGAGATGAGAGTTCAAGACATTTTGCTTTTAAGGAGTGATTGAAGAAAGCTAGATGACTTGAAGATGTCCAAGCTAGAGACATTGTGGGAAGAGAAAAATAGATTGGGATGGACAGGTTGATGGGAAGATTTCCTGAAATATGTCCCTAGGCTAAAATCAAAAGAGAAATCAAATAAATAAAATTATCTGCAAAAATTAGTATAAAAATTATATACTATAAAATTTTATTTAATTTTTTATTTAAATTATTGATGGAGTACATGTAAAACTTAGTTCTCTAGACTCCCAGCCCAACTTTCTTCCTACTTGAAACATCAGCTGGGGAAGAAATCTGGCTTGAAAATTGTATTCTCCCCTCAGACTCACATTGAAATTAGACTTAATTTTAAAACAGGAAGACAAATTCCTAGTGACACAGGCATGCTTAAGAATTGCACACACCAAGAATTCCATCTTCTTTCCATCCCAAGGGAAGAGCCAGCTGACCCTAGGGAATATCCAACTCCCTGAGAGTTAGGATGAACCCCTCCAGAGCCTCCCCAGGAAGCCTTCGATAAGCACCAACAGCTATGATGGGGAGTAGAAAGGGTTCACCTGCTGGGGTGTGGCCAAATTCAAGAAACACATAGGCTTTCATGCCACCAGTGGAAAAGGAGATTTCACAGAAGAGCTTCTTCATGCCTATTTTAATGGGCAAATCAAGTCCCTGAGGGAAAAGATTATGAGGAAGTCTCCCAAAGTGAGATTTCCCCATTTTGTTGATTATATATATAGTAATGGTAGAAGGGTGAAAGATACATAGAATAATATATTATAGAAATAGTACCAGTGAAAATTTTCTTCCTACAAACCTTGAGGAGAAATGGAACCAGGTCTGCAGGAAAGAACAAAGATAATTGTGGGGCGCGGTGTTAACGCCATTGCAAGATGGCGCCGACTTCCTGGTCACACCCATACCACAAGACTGATAAACAGGGTGAACCGCGCATGTGTAGGGGCTTTTTCCCGTCTCTCAGCAAGTATGCTAATGAGGGCTCTTGCGTGAGCCAATCAGATTCTGCCTAATGTACTTAGTGCCTATATAAGCCCGCTCCGAGAGCTCCTCGGGGTCTTCCGCTTTAGTCATCTTCAGATTCCCCAATAAAGCGCTGTCAGAAGAACTCCGGTTGCCGCGTCTTCCTTGCTGGCGAGGCAGGCGTGACAGATAATGAATTAGCTTTATTTCTGTCAACTATCGCAATAACTCTATACTCCAAACAAGAAACGGAGACTGAAGTATCTGTCCAGAAAACACTCACCCCAAAGCTGGCATGGGAGTGGAAAATACCGACTCCTACAACAGCTTCCAACTGGTCTCCTGCTTCCACACGCATCCTCCCTACAACCTCCAGTGGTATGTCGAAAAGAAAATTCTGATTCTCTTCCTCCTCTCCCCAAATTCTCCAAACATTTGCCATCATCTGCAGGAAACAAGTCAAAATCTTCAGTGTGGACCACAATGCCCTTCATTGCAATTGCCCTTTGAAAGCTCACCTTTTCCCATCCCTGGGGCCAGGCAATAGGTAGTGTTCTGGAAGACTGAAAGAATATTTTTCTTTGCAGATTATGATGTCTCTGAAGCAGCTTCCTGGTCTTAACTTATGGAAGACTTGAAATTCAAAAGATTCAAATGGGAATTCACTAGGCATGGAAACAGAGAGCATGCATGAAATCAAAAAACACACAGTAGTGATAGCTCTCCTCAAGCTTTCCCAAGTCAGTGTCTATAAAGTCTCTTGTGATCATTTATTATAGAGTAGAGAACACATCTTTTTCATATATAAAGACATAAGAAGTAAATATTTCAATTGTCTTCTTTTTGAGTTCAGGTCTTTTAAAATTTAATTTTAAGTATTTGCTTTTCTTAATTCCACTGAGACTAAGGGGTATCTCCTTTAGAAAGGCTGTCTTTTCCCTGATTAAGGCAATCAAAAAGGAAAATCCTGCTTGAAAATGAACTAAGAAATGTCTACCTTGTGGATGAGGCAAAGGATGACTAACTTGCTAGTGAGCTTCCTCTTTGGTGTCCATGGGAAACTGGGTCCAACCCCCCAAAACAACAACAACAACAACAACAACAAAGATCCCCAACATTACTTAGCATCAGGTCGAGTAGGGCTTAGTGTAGAAACTGAATAACGTGTTCTGGGAACTGACGTTGATATTTAATATGTAACAATGATTCACCAAAACTTACTTGTACTATTTCATAGATACCTCGCTGGGCAAAAAGAATCACTCCAGGTTGTCTAATTTACAAACTCCCAGAAAACTCAGAAGATGTTAACTCCATTCACAGAATATCAACTAACACAAAACCTGGCAGAACTGTATTTAGTGCAGTAGTGAGACCACAGGCACTTGCCACAGGACACATGAATTTTCCTTTCGCTTCTCAGCCTTGACAGCACAGCAGGGAGAAAGGCCTCTCACTTCACCTGAAGAATCTATCAGGGTGTTCATGACAAACCTCGGAAGTGACATTGTGCTCCTTCTCCATGTGGCACAGAGCCATGTCACACCTGCTGGAGAAAACAGTGTGCCTGTAAATAACATTTTTCAAGGGAAAATTAGAAATCGACTCCACAGCAACTGTAAATAGCACCTATGTACCACAATTACCATGCCACCAACGGACACTCGGGTCTCAGCACATAAAGATACAAAAATAAAATTAAAAAGGGAAAGAGGAAGCAAAATTAGTTGTTAGAATGAAATATCTCTCTCTCTCTCTCTCTTTCTCTCCATTATTCTTATAATTAATTCAGCTGGAGAAATTCATTTTTAATCAATATTATCAAAGATTTTTTTAAGACATAAAAAAATAACACTTTACTAAATATCCAGTTCTAGACACACATTGAATTCATTTAAAGTTCCAGAAAGATAGGAATTTTAGCTGTTTTGTTCACTTCTATACTCCCAGCTCCTAGAATGATGCCTAACACAAGGTAGGGACTCCATGAATATTTGTTGAATAAGTTGATTATTTACATTCATTATTCAATAAAATCATAGCCTTGTACATGATGGGCATTCAATAAATATTTGTTGAATAAATTCAACAAATATTTATTGAATGCCCATCATGTACAAGGCCATGATAGGGCCTAGGGCTATAAAGAGTCAGCAAAGGATACCCCTCCCAGCTCCAGATTCATGTATCTTAATGCTTATTTGAAATATCTAATAGGCTTCTCAAACTTGACATGGCCAGAACACAACTCTTTTTTACCTGGAACTGCCCACCCATTCCTTGCCCCAAATTATTCCTCCCTTTGCTAAGTGGAGGACTTGGTGCAAATATATTCCAGTCTATTTAAGCACACATGTAAGATCCTCTATTATGTACAGCTAGACGATCCTAACTGATATGTCATTCAAAGGGTAGATAGAAGGAGAAGCAATGAAGGAAACAAACAAACAAAAAAGTGTTGTCAAAGATAATAACACAACCAGGGAAGCAGATCATATAGGAGGGTCAACCTGAGACCAAAAGACCACCACCCATGTCATCAAATAAAACAAGAACATAAAAAGAGGAGATTTTACTAGGCAATTTGGATAGTAAGTTCAACAGGAGTGAAAAGAAAACTAGATTAAAGTCCATTCAGTATTATATTTAGAGAAATATATCTATACTTTATCAACTATTACATCTGTACACACTCATAAAACGTCTTTGTTTAACAGTACTTAAATGTCCAGAGAACCACATATTAATGTATTTCAGCTATCATAGCAAAGAACCCAGTAGAAACTGAGTTAACCTCTAGAAGACGTAGGCAAAATTATTAATAATTAGCAAGACTGTGCTCACCAGTATTCCCCTAACCACAACAGACTAATATATCCTCCACAGTGATGAAAGCTTCTATAAAAGAGAAGGAGAAAAGAAGAAGAAAGAAAGGAGAAAAGAAGAGCAGAGGGAGGAAGAGAGGGAGGCAGGCTGGCTGGAGGGAGCAATGTGATCCCATTAGCGTCACCTTAGACGTGACCATAAGAAGCAGTAGACACACGTGTGAGGGTCACGGAAGACATCTGAGCAGAAGTTATTCATGAACTGAGACCTAGGGCAGCAGAATTAGCCAGAAAAGACTGCAAGGGAGTGCTCCAGGCCTACATCAGGAATGACATACATAAAGCATGTATTAATTGCCTCAAACATCTCTCTGGAGGCTTCTTTCCATCGGTGTGCTTGTCCTTAACAGGTAACCCACGATTCTGAATTGTGCCAATTTGGTTTGTCTGGTTATTTGAAACACGGACCATCATCCAAAGTCACTAACTGGATTTTGCCAAGGGCTACCTAGAGTCACATCATACCCCAGATCCCAGAGCAAGGCACGTTACTATTATAACGTTTAGTATCATTTAGTCAGGCTCACCAGTGGACACGGAAGAGAGAAAACTCTGGAATCCTCCCAGACATTTATCTGGGCATGGATGTGCAGCCTGGCATGTAGCCCACGGTAGCCCCCACACCTTCACTGCAGATCATGCAATCCCAAGCGCAGCATCTGAAATGGCCTAAATTGAAGAGTAAAAAATCTTTGCTTGTCTCTATCAAATATAGAACCAAAAAATGAGAAGGGTTGGAACATTTTCCTTTTTCCACCATGACTTTACTCTTCCTGATCAAAAACTGCTAAGGGTTACTGCACTGTGAAAGCAGTCTTTTGTGTTTTAGTTCTTAGCCATTTACCCCCTGGTAATAGCTCAAGGAGGTGGGGTTCGGGAAGAATTTGAGCAAAAATTTTTTTTTAAAACATCACCCTGTAACCTAATACTGAACATTTTAAAGGACTTACTGAAATTATTGAGATAGGAGACCGCAAGGCACAAATACTAGTAAAAAAGTTCCAAGGCCGGAACCAAAGTCTCTGACAAAAACAGGAAAACAGGATGCAGTGAAGAAACTGGTTAAGATGAGTAAGAGCCAAGATGGTGACAAGAAGGACCTCTGCTCACCCTTGTAGCCCAGTATCCCTGCTTATAACATATTTGCATACTAAAAGAAACTCCCACCAGCACCCAGTTCATACTTACCATGATAACCCTTACAAATTACCTTATATGGTATGAAAAGAGGACCCCCCCCCAATTCTTAGGAATCTCTGCCCTTTTCCCAGAAAAATCCATGAATAATCCACCCCTTATTTAGCATATAATCAAGAAATAATCATAAATAGAGTTCGCCAGCACCATGGAGGAGTTATTCTCCGGTGCTCTGAGAGATAGCCACTACCCTTTCTGTGGGGTGGCCTGCTTGCTGTTCCTTTGTTTAATAGATGTCGCTTTCATTTCCAACATAAGATGTGTGCTTGAATTCTCTCCTGCATGAAGCCAAGAACCTGCCTGGCCTTCAGGCTGTACCTAGTTTTGGGGTCCACTTTCCCGTGTGATGTGTGGTTACCATTCCTATGATATCCACAGCAGCCAGGACCTCCACTGACACCCTTACGCCCTCCTAGTAAACCTAAGAGATGAAGTCAATTGCATGTGCTTAAATTGCAAAGAGAGAAAATTAAAGCTTTTAAGTTCAGATTACTGTGCTTCACAAGATATACCCAGTTACTGAAGTTTTTGTGGGCCTTGTGTAGAGTAGGGCCTCCTATATTTGTTAAAGGAGCTGACCAGTGAATGAGAATCAATGGATGAAAGGATAAAAGGGAGGGAAGGAAATTTAACTACGAGAATGAGCAATGTGTAAATATGCCTTGAGTATTAAACACTAAATACAATTCAAATCAATATCAGTATCCAAAGAACTGATGGGAACGCCTGATACTAAAATGAACTGTCAGCTCAATGACATTGTTAAGAAATCAAGTGACTTGAAACCAGTTTGTGACAATATTCCTCCTCCCTTATTATCCTCATGCTCTTACCTTCTAATCATTTCTCTTCCCTGTTCTCCAACCTCACATTTCCCTCAAGTCTGACCGCCCAGATTTTTTTTCAAAGGTAAAGGCTCTTCCCTTTCTACTAGTAGTACCCACACAGTAAGTCCCGCTGAGTCTGCTCAACTGTCCATCCACTGCTTGGTTTACCCAACAGCAAGTTACTGAGCCTCTACTAGGTGCCCGGCATTGAGTAACCGGGGCCCAAAACAATCAAGAGATACACTAGGCCCCTACCCTCGGGCTGCTGACAGTCTTTGGGAAGCCACAGAGAGTAAACAACCAGTTACAATAAAAATGGATACACATGCAGAGCACTGGGAACACATGGCCTGACATCAGAACTTGCAATCTAGTTGAGGAGAAAGGACATTTGAAATGTTTTAAAAGTATTGGCTAATAGTTCAAGACAACAGGCCAAAGCCGAAGCCGATGGATTAATATTCTGAGGAACTCTGTCTGTCTGGGTAATAAGACCTTTGCTTTTTGTCAAACAAAGCAAACTGGGCACTTCCCTAAGCATTGTCACGCTGCGCTGTCCGTCTCCTTGCCAGTGCCACATGGGACTGTCCTTCCCATCTCGTCCCCTGCCCTACCCTTCCTTTAAGACACAACTTGGCAATTCATCCTGTTCTGCCTTAAAGTCTTACGTCCATACAGCTCTTTCTTGTTTTCACATTTGTGCTTTGCCATTGCTTGAGGTATCTGTGCTGTTTCAAGTGTCCCTTCTCCCCAACTAGATTGTAAGTAGTTCTTTAAGAACAGGATTGTCTTTACAGTCTTGTTGACACAGATGGCTGTGTGTTTGTTCCTGGCACAGTACCTTGCCAGAGCAGTGCTTGCTATTTATTAATTGTTCTTTGTTTTTTCTTTGTCTTCTGAGTCAGAGTCTCACTCTGTCACCTGGGCTACAGTGCCGTGGTGTCAGCCTAGCTCACAGCAACCTCAAACTCCTGGGCTCAAGTGATCCTGCTGCCTCAGCCTCCCTAGTAGCTGGGACTACAGGCACATACCACTCAGATAATTTTTCTATTTTTAGTAGACACAGGGTCTCACTCTTGCTCAGGCTGTTCTCAAACTCCTGACCTCAAGCGATCCTCCCACCTTGGCTTCCCAGAGTGCTGGGATTACAGGCGTGAGCCACCGCAGCCGGCCTTATTAATTGTTTAGTAACATGGTGTAGGTAAGCAAAAAAGAACCAAATGACCACCTAAAACTACTAGTCATCAAGATTCCTGATACTCTCAAGGGAGGAATGAAAAAGACTAAATTTTTCTTGGCGTCACTTCCAGCGGATCTATGCAGGGATCCGCTGTGAGGAGAAGAATACCTGGGGGGGCGGGGGGGAGATTGTGCTCTGCAAACTCTAATTTGGACTGGAGGTTAAAATCATTAGGTCAGCCTGACACTAAAACCATTTATACTTCAACAATAATTCAGGCTTGAGTTCAAATATTTATCCTCTTTGATGAGATGCTGCTAACACCTAAATCTCCAGTCCCCCTGAAATTTCCAGAAGAAATGAGGATTCTCTTCACTCACCAGTTGAAAAGAGAGATATATGTGGGGGATGTGGCAGTAAAGTTCCAAAGATTGACACCCAGAAATTGCAAGCAGCATTTCTAGTCCCGATGAAAGGAGACATGTAGCTGACTCCCTTAGAAGATAAGATTTTTGAGACCAAGAAAAAAAAAAAAAAAGATTAAGACTGAACTTTGAGAAAGATTATTTTTCTAGTGGCAGCATCAGAGGACTTTGTGCACTTATTCAGTTCACTGGTTACAAAGTTGTGGGTGCATGGAGTTCAAAACAAGTTTCATTTTTCTGTGTGAAGTGCCCAGTGGCAAAAACACCCACTCCACAGCTCTTAAGTCTCCTTTCGTTAAATGGAAAGTTCCACTAAAAGTAAAAAATTATACTCCGGCACCAGCATGCCAGCACTGATGAAGTGATAGGCCTCAGATGCATTTGCACATTCAGGGACTATCAGGCGGGATCAGGCTGCTGCAGGTGGTGACTGGCATTTGCCTGATAATACCCCCGCAAAACTTGCCAACCCAGGGTTAACAAAACTAAGCAAAAAAGAAACCCAAGCCCCCCCGCAACAATTAACCCTCCTAAACAAATGGCCCCGAAAAGGTTGGAAATTTTTTTTAATGCAATAAACATTTATTAAGCACCTACTATGTGCCAAGCACTGAACTGGGACAGAGGTGATTCCATGTGGCCTTTGCCATCCAGGAGGTGACAAGCCAGTGGTGGAGGCAAACATGCTAATTGGATAATTTTGCTGAACTGTGCTAAGTGCTGTAACAGGAGTAGGAGGAGAGTACAGCGGACTCAAGAGAAGCAAAGAAGAATATTAATCACTCTGGCAAATGCTGGACTTCTAGAAGGGACATCAGCAGTGCTAACAGAAAAGTAAGTGAGGTGACTGCAGCCATTCTTCAATTGCTTTCTTGAAAAACACATTTTAAAATCACTTAATTTTCTACCAGGAACTTTACTTAAGTGATTAATTCCTTGATCATTCATAAGACCTAAAAAGATAAAAAAATAAAATAAAATAAAATAAAGAGTAACACAAACTTCACCATCCCCAGGTAACAATGCAAAGCGTGGGTCAACCCCAGTTTGACTCGGAGGGATCAAGTTACCCAAAACAATTCAGAAAAGCCAGTGTGACCCCTGGTCACTTTTAATCAGAAAAGCAGGAGACCTGGTGAACTCCAAAAGCAGCCTAGAACCCAGCTGGAGTTCTCTGCACCCCCAAGCCCCCAAATTTACCTTCCTACCCACCTTCCCGGGACACAGTGACCTAACTGTCTCCTGTCCTCTCACCAACTGCCCTCTCGCCATGTGGTCAACATTCCCGAATATGCTCAAAGCTCCTAATCACACATCTCTGCTACACAGCATCTCACATAGAACAAGCGCTCACTTACGTTTGTACGATGAATGAATAGATCACTTTTTCTACTTCTCTTCATTTTATCAGGCTTTTCTTGGTGTGTCAAATGCTGTTCCACATCTCCCTTTCCTACTTCTCCCACCGCCACAAATCCCTGCCCACCCATCCCCTTTACGTCCATCCGTTAAGTGATATTTGAAGGGAGGAAGTAGGAAGAACAAGGATTCTGCAATTAGGCACCCCTGCTTCCAACCCTGACAATATTACCTTACCAAGTCACTTAATGTCTACCACTCCCAGTTTTTCCACCTGTAAGATGATAAGAATACCCCACAGTGTATAGTGTTATGATGAGGGGAAACACATATGTCTAAAGTTCCTTCGAACTCTTTAAACAGGGGGAAAAAAATAAAATAATAAAATAAAGTTCCTGATATGCTCCAGTGTCAGGCACCCAGTTAGGGTGCAGTAAATGGCTTCCGAGAAGCCACTCAGCTTACTCACGCGGGAGCTATCTCTGCTGTAGCAGAACAGCCCTTCCTGGGTCTCCGAATGCCTCTGTGGGAAA